CAAGTGTATCCTATCATGTTGATGGCTTATCCCAATGGATATGGCTTCTTCCAACAAGACACTGCGCCATGCCACAGTGCTCGTATTGTGCAGGAGTGGTTTCAAGAACATGAGGGAGACTTTACCTTGCTTAGGTGGCCCCCACAATCACCAGATCTCAATCCAATTGAGCATGTGTGGGACAAATTTAAAAGAGCCATCAGGCAGCCGCTCCCACAACCATCAAATCTCACAGACTGGACAGTGCTATTCATCAGGCATGGTGTCAGATTCCTCGCATCACCTTTCAACATCTCGCGGAGTCAATGCCAAGAAGAATCGCCGCAGCATTGAAGGCAAAAGGTGGCCCAACGAAGTACTGATGGGGTGGTCATAATAATATGGCCACTCAGTATATATAAAGGCTGTTAAATCACGTTGTTCACTCATATCTTCAGAAAAAAATCACTTCTGTCTGGTAAACAACCTGCTTCCCTATTTATAATGATCTGGCTCTCTAGCAACTTCAGTGTGAAATTATAGCTAATTTGCCTACAAACGTCAGATGGTCATAATAATCTGGCCACTCGGTGTATATGAAACCTATATAGCTCAATACCAAGAAGACACACAATCCAATAAAAAAAAATGGACAAAGGACCTGAATAGACACTTGTCCAAAGAGGACATACAGATGGCCAATAAACATATGAAAAAATGCTCACGATCACTAATCATCTGAGAGATGCAAATTAAAACAACAATGAGGTATCACCACACACTTGCCAGAATGGCTACCATCAATAAATCAACAAATGACATGTGCTGGCAAGGATATGGAGAAAAGAGAACCCTAGTACACTTTGGTGGGAATGCAGATTGGTGCAGCCACTGTAGAAAACAGTATGGAGGTTCCTCAAAAAATTAAAAATGAGCCCTAGCTGGTTTGGCTCGGTGGATAGAGTGTAATAATGATATATCTTGAAAAAAACTTTGAGCACACTGATCATCTTTTTAAAACTAGAATTCACCCTGAAGTTTATATGATGGATGGATGGGTGGATGGATGGATGGATGGATGGATGGATGGATGACGAGAAAGATGGAAGGAAAGAGGGAAGGGAGGGACAGAGTCCAAAGAGGCCCAGTGGTTCTTGTTGTTGATGACCTTGTTTTAACATTAGAACATATTACATGACATTCATTACCTTGATGGTGGGGAAAGCACAGGATTTGAAATAAAATGACTATTACCTTTTGGCTTGTGTTTTTAGGGAATTTGCTTTCCTTTTCTGAGTTTTACTTCCTC